GAAGTCGCCATTGCTTCGCATGCAATGGAGAACCCGCGTAGAACACAGAACAATTATTTCTATCAGGGAGGGGAGTCTCGTGGTATTAAATAAAAAGTTATTTGTTTTTTCATTTTTAAGATAAAATTCTCTTTCTATAACGATAAATATTTGATTGACATTTAAAAGCTATTTTATAAAGATTTTCAATTTCTCTTTGCGTTTTAGCTTCGATTTTTCGGATAGAATAAAATGACAGGCAGCCTACTCCACTAGGTCGAGTTTTGCTGTGCAAAATCCTCCCGTCGGAGGGTTATGTTTACAACATAAGCTTGTCAGCTTTGCGCTGATTGGCTAGTCGCATTTTCTCAAATCACCCAGAATCTTTGCTAAGCGACTTATTCGTCATTATAGATAAATAAAATACATAATCCGAATGGTCAAGAGAGGTAGAACTAATAGACACCAGTATAAACCACGCACTAATCGTACTGGCGGTCTGGTATTGTTTGTTGTTAAATCAAAAAACCATTTAATGGATGAGATGTGATGATGGCTGGTTGTTTTTTGAATCAACTTGTCGTTATCAATTCAATATAAAGTTTCTTTAGCTCTACGCTGGTGGCATACTCTTTCCAATCGTGAATCGAAAAACCGAGATTAGCATAGCTTTTACGATCATTAGTCTCAATTTTGAGACTAATTGGAATCGATTGCTATCGGAACGTCTTTCGGGACATTATCGTTCTTGTCGGAAGGATATCGAAAGAAAGAACAATGGATGCCTTGTCATCGGAACTCTGTCGTAAAAATATCGGTGGGAATCGGAAAGATCAAAACTGTTTGGTAGAGTTGAACACTATTGAATAAACATCCGGCTCAACATTAAGAACAGCCGTTTTTAGCTTGTATCGAGATGAATGCGAACGCATTTATTGTAGGAGTTTAACATTTTATGAATGTGGAGGCGAAATAGAACGTACCGTGACTGATACGTGGGTACCGCGTTGCAAAAATGCATAGCTTGTCGGGCGAAGGAAATAGCTACATTTCAAAGAAGTTTCTAGAACAAATCACTAGGCAAATAAAATGCAATAACAGAGATGGAAATTCCAATCTTTAGATAAATTTTGTGTGCATTTTAATTTTCCGAATTCGTTGTAGACCAGTTGTTATGGAACCTATAACTATAACGTACTAACGGTCATGGAGTCGGATCAAATCGTGTATTGAGGTCTACAAGCTCCAAGACGTGATATACATTTGTGAATTTTTGGAGTTACCGTTGCCGATGAAATTGCTAGGATACAAAAGTCAGTTTACTTTGAAGGTATTCCATTCCTAATGCAGTTACACCTCCTAAAAATAATGTAGACACAATTGCTGTTTACAAATACTCGACTTGGTGTTTAGAATCGGAAATACCCGCAAAACAATGCGAATAACTACAAAAGCTTATAAACACCACTTTACAATTCGAATATTTATTCACTCATAACCCATTTCCTTAGGAATTCGGAATATTTCAAGTTTTTTATTTTATTTTGAATCCCACGCGTCCCATTTGCATCCCACACGTCTCAGGCAACGCGCTTGGAGATCAACCGACGCGTTTTCACGTAATGTATTGAAATAATTCGGCGCGGAGTRCTTTCTATTCTCTCAGCCACATAATTGGTTTCTAAAATTGTCAGTGACGGCATGTTTTCGACCAGTCTACATATAAGGTCGACACTGAGAGCAGTCCAGTGATAAAAGGAAGCGCAAAATGTTTTGGGAGCCGATTTGTTGACAGCCTCTTACAGCCTTGATATCAAATTACAGCACTCCATTTATAGTAGAGTCTGCACTGAGCGGGATAATTACTCCAGTACCGAAAGCAGCAAAGAGTTCACATACCGTTTCTAAGTTGACAAGTATGACGTTCCTTTTCTACGCAGGATTGTTGTTTGGCTTGTTCTCCGTGAGCATGTGTTGCTCTTGTATGACTACACATCCACAAGGACACTTTTGCAGAGCACAGTTTGGTGAGTAAATATAAACTTAAAACTGAAGTGGAATTAAACTGTTCACCTGTAGATTATACAGCCCACTATTTTACACAAGTCTTTTAGTTTTTTAATATTCACTTTGTCTTAACTTCATGAAGCAATAACAATAGTTTTTACAATGTTATGGAAGTTTCTCTCTTAATCATCGTCATCACTATGAGGGAAAATCGAACACTGCCACGCTGGTCACATAAAAATAATATCATACATATTTTCATTGCAATTCAACTTTGGTCCGCAATAGAACTTTCTGAATTTAGACACATTAATCCTCCAAACGAGCTAAATATAATCGATCAAATAATTAGCCTAAAAAACGCATAAGTATCTTACTTCTGATCAAACACTTCTAATAATTATAGTTTTTTGTTGTCAGCTAAATACTTCACTAGTGATCTATAGCATTTCCTAAAGCCGAAACACAAA